GTGCATCTTACCTCTACACCCACATATGCATCCGTATGCCAACTGCACCCAAAAAATAATATGTTGAGAATGTATAGAGGCCACAAATTTTTAGAAAATCAGATTTAAGTGTTTAGAAACTTAAAACCCAATTTTCCTTATATGAAAATACACATTGAGATTCTAAATTATATTCCAGAATTTCATATTGAAAAAGATATTTCTAAGTGGTTTTTTGCCTAGGTAGTAGATGCACAGTATGCGGACACTACGCGTGATTGTTTTTTAAATTATCCACTCATGCAGCACATTTTAGGTGCAAAAATACCTTTCACTTATTCTCATGGAAAAGGGAGGTTGGAATCACTCTCGGTAAAACCTCTTAGAAGCCTTTAAACCAAAGCCCAAATTTTAACCAAGGGAGTCAAGCAAAAGCTTTGTATGCATAGTGAAAAAGTCATTCCAAGTTGGCCAAACAATGTCCAAGAAATATAATAGTTATTATCATTATCAACGTTTTATTTCAGTTATTTGGGGTCAACTACACTAATTATCTTCTACCATTATGCTCTATTAATGACCATATTGTTAGTACAACACATTGCTTATAGGGAAACATTGGATTAGGATTCATAATAGGGATGAGGCAAAACAAATTTCCCGCTTGCCAACCTAACACAACTTTTCTCCTTTCTCATTTGGGCTTGAGACCAATAATAGTAGAGTTCTAAACATATCCAAAATTTTAAAATAAAACGAAAACCTTATTCATTCAAGATTGTATGTTGTAAAACTATTTACTTTTAGTATAAAGATGTCGCCATCATCCTTATCCATTAGATGTCAAATCCGATGCCTAGGGTGTTTCATGAAGTTCGAGAAATTTTCATTTGAATTTTGAGCATGGTTAATGGCACAACTTAAGCCACTTGATTTTAAATCTAATGATCAAGTGTGACTTTAAATCTAATGGTCAAAGTCTGAGTAAACTCAACGAGTACGTACACCCAAAAAAAGTGAGAAAAAAAGTTGAAGAAAAGGGTAACAATTTCTATTTTTTTTTTTAATAACAAGAAAAAGTTATAAAGGTCAATAGAAATCATTAGGATATTAAGTAAGATGAAAGAAAGCTATAAAAGGTGGATTATTGAAAAAAATGGATTTATACTTCATATTTCAAAAAAATTTATAAAAAAGGAAAAATATAAAGTCTCCATATGATTTCAAAAATAGGAAAATCTTCTAACTAAATATTTCCGACCAATATACTATTATTTTCTTCTTATTATTTTTTTGAAATTTTTTTTTTTTTTATATATAATTTTTTAAGAAGTTATTGGGGCAAGACAAGTTAGCCACCGAACTTGCCAGGAACTTGCATCACTACGAGGCGAGGCTGAGTTACTTGGTCGACTCAGCTGAGTCCGGTAACATTGATAAAATATCTAAAGGAAATGTATACAATGAAACAATTTATTTTTGATAAAAAGAGGTCACACTCATCATTGATCA